ACCTCAGACTGTGTTTAGGGTTTAGGGTTTAGGGTTTAGGGTTTAGGGTTTAGGGTTTAGGGTTAGGGTTCAGGGTTTAGGGTTTGGGGTTTAGGGTTTAGGGTTTAGGGTTTAGGGTTTAGGGCTGTCAGAAGCATCCCAGGGTTTGGGAGAAAGGTGCCCTGCCCGGCTATACATTGTCAAGGGTCCAAAACTCTAAGCCCAAGACCCTACACCCCAAGCCGTAAACCCCAAACTCTAGACTCTAAACCCTGAACCCTAAAGCCGAAAACCCTAAACCCTAAACCCTAAACCCCAAAGCCGAAAACCTAAACCCCAGACCCCCCAGGCGAGGCTCATCCTCCTCCGCACCCGAGATCTCACTCCAGATGCGATCCGAGTCCTGATTTAGGGTGTAATGTACGGGTCTTAATAATTAGCACAGTTCACAGGACGGGTTTAGGGATTTACCCATGTTCAAGATCATTTCCCGCCTGCTCGCTGGAGCAGATCGCATGTCGAACGGACTCGAAGTGCAGCCGTTCCACCTACAGTTCAAGGGCTTCCACAAGGACTGTGTGAGGAATCTATGAAGGCTACGAACGCATCCACAAGGATGACTTTCTTGGATACTGTAAGGAACCTATAAGGGTTACTGGCCCTAAACCCGAAAGTCCTAAACCCTAAACCCTAAACTCTAAGCCCCCAAACTCTAAACCCCTAAACCCTAAAACCCTGAAAGACTAAAGCCCTGAAACCCTAAAGTTCCAAACTCTAAAGCCCTAAACCCAGCTTAGGGTTCAGGGTTTTAGTCCGTTGCATGCAGACCCAGCCGTCTCCTAAGCCGGCTGTCCGGAAAAAGGCATCCCGGGTTTAGGGTTTAGGGTTTGTGGGTTGAGGGGTTTTAGGGTTTTAGGTTGGGTTTAGGTTTTGACGGTTGAGAGTTTAGGATTGAGGGTTTCGGGGCTTTTGGGTTTGGGGTTTAGGGTTTGCACCTTTGGCGGTTTAGGGTTTAGGGTTTTCGGAAGCCCAAAATGCTAGACCAAAAGTGCTTTTGATTCGGAATCCTCATATCCCTGCATTTTGAAGCACGGAGTCCTGGATGCATTGAAACTTCATGAAACTCCAGTTCAGGGTTGGGAAGATGTACTGTAATTGCGCACCCCTGAGAATTAAGCCCCCTCTTCCTTAAGAAGGATTACCATAGGTATCCTAATGTTTGGGCCCTGAAGAACGTGTGAGACGAATCTGCATTAGTATGTAGCGACTTGGGTTCCAAGCAAAACCTCAAGACACAGAAGACATGGATCAGGGTTTTGGGCTTTAGGGCTTCGGGTTTCAGGCTAAGGGCTCGGGGTTTAAGGCTTAGGATGCAGGAATCCTGCGCGGATAGCCGACCAGTTCTCGAACAAACGCTAGCCCCAAACCGTGAAGCAAAACCCTACAAGGCCCTGATAAAATCCTTAGAACCCTAAACCCTAAACCCTAAACCCTACAAAGCCCTGATAAAATCCTTAGAACCGCTTGGAGCCCCTTATAAAACCCTAGAACACTCTAAAGCAGAAGCCAGAAGGTTGGAACATCATTATCCTCATGCCCCTAAGGTAAAGTGTACGGGATCCTAGCACTAATCATCCTAAATCCATGTTCCAACTTTCTGGGGTTCTAAACCCTAAACCCTAAACCCTAAACCCTTGGGGTATATTATACTATAATTATAATGAGGAAACCCCAAAATAGTATAGGTAATTATTAAGGCCCTTACATTATTCTGACCCTAAAGAACCCTGAACTGAAGGCCCTGTCGAGCCGGCCTGGAGCTTCAGGGATTCGTCCTCCAACCTGGCGAATCCAGAGAGCTCGGGGAATAGAGTGTGGTGTTTAGGGTTTAGGGTTCGGGTTTAGTGTTTAGGGTTTAGGGTTTGGGGTTCGGGGTTTGGGGTTTAGGGTTTGGGGATAGGGGCCTAGAACATTGCCAACACTAGCTATTCTAGGGGTTCCTCATTATAATTGCAGAGAACCCCCCGTTAGTTGGGGCTTGAGGTCGTTAGGGTTTCAGTGTTGCAGGGCTTAAGGGTTTAGGGTTTAAGGGTTTAGGGTGTGGGGTTTAAGGTTTTAGGCCTTAAGGGCTTTTAGAGCTTAAGGGTTTCGGGCTTTAGGGTTTACGGATTTGCGGGTTAGGATTTAAGATTTAGGGTTTCAGTTCACGTTTAAGGATTTAAGGGCTCTTAAGGGTTTAGAGCTTGGCGTTTAGGGTTTACGGGTATAAGGGTTTCAGGGCTTCAGGGGTCAATGGCGTAGGCTTTGGGATTTAGTTGCCAAGAAGCCCCGGGGCCCTGAATCTCAGCTGTCTTCATATTTGGGCACTCTTGGGAACCTGCATCCCAGCACGGTTTAGGGTTTAGGGTTTAGGGTTTAGGGTTTAGGGTTTAGGGTTTAGGGTTTAGGGCTTAGGGCTTAGCCTCTCCAGATATTTGAGGCGGGGGGGTGTTCTGGCAACTAAGGGGCAGACCATTGAATGCGTCGTAGTGCCCCCCTACCTTCGGAAACTCCCAGATGTTACGAAGACATCCGAAACACTGAACTCCAAACAGGAGCCCTTGACAATACTGCCTCGAACCCCAAACCCTAAACCCTAAATCCTAAACCCTAAACCCTAAACCCTAAACCCTAAACCCTAAACCGATGCTTGGCCGCCGAGGCTGCTAAAAGCCTCGTAAGTTCGGACCGGGCCTTGTGGAGTACTATACTTTCATGCGACTCTCGGCAGATATTAGGATTTAGGGTTTAGGGTTTAGGGTTTAGGGCTTAGGGTAGGACGCAGAAAGGGGAGAACGCAACCCAAATTCAAAACCTCAGATTCCCCCAGAGCCCGGCGAGCTGCATGCACACCACGTTCTGGCTCACGATGCCCAAGTTCAGCACCACCACGCTGATCACCAGCAGATATCGAAGCACAAGCGGGCCAACTCCTGCAGCCCCAACCCTAAAACCCTAAACCCCTAAACCCTAAACCAGCAATACCCTAAACACCACCAATACCCTACAGCCTAAACCGTCAAATCCTCTGAATCCTGAACTTAGGGGCTGAGTACCCTAGCCCAAAAAAGGGTTTAGGGTTTAGGGTTTAGGGTTTAGGGTTTAGGGTTTAGGGTTTAGGGTTTAGGGTTCTTTTGAGTTATAGAAGGAATATAAGAGCCCCAAAAGGTTCAAGGATACCTACTCAGCCACTAAGTTAACCCTAAACCCTAAATCCTAAACCCTAAACCCTAACCCCTAACTCAAGGTTGCTGGGCCGCTGGATTTAGGGCACCGGCGAGTTGTGTCTAAATGGTCCCCCCCCTCTTAGGATCCTTAAGGGTTCAGGGTTTAGGGTTTAGGGTTCAGGGTTCAGGGTTTAGGGTTTAGGGTTCAGGGTTCAGGGTTAAGGGTTTAGGGTTTAGGCTGTAGGATTTAGGATTTAGGCTTTAGGGTTTAGGGTTTAGGCTGTAGGATTTAGGGTTTAGGCTTTAGGGTTTAGGGTTTAGGCTTTAGGGTTTAGGGTTTAGGCTTTAGGGTTTAGGGTCTACGGCCTTATTACAGGGCCTATAGAGGCTGGGCTATTGAAGCTTCATGAATGTCGGGACTCCGTGGGGCCACCTCTCTTCCCCGTGCAACACAGAACCACCTGGAGTAAAGGGTTTAGGGTTTAGGGTTTAGGGTTTAGGGTTTAGGGTTTCGGGTTTTGGGGACAAAGTTTAGGGTTTAGGGCGTTTGAGGTTACGGTTAAGGTGGGGTTCACCCCAAAACCCTCAACCTAGACTCAGCTAAAAATGAAAACAAATTTCACACCTTCCAAGCCAAAAGGATTGCCCTGAAAACCCTAAATCACCGGTTCCCCGTCCAGACTGCATGTGCGTCTCCAGAGTAGGACGGGCCTCAACGGCGTCATCGAAACGCAGGGGTGTCCCTGAACTGCCCAGAAGCCCTTGCATGTTCGGTTCAGGCAGGCGTGTAGGGTTTCGCGCTCAGGGAGTTCGGATGCCCTTAGGGCAAGAACAGAGCGACCAAGTACGAAGAGTTACAGCCGGGGGATCATAATATAGGGGCCTTAATAGTTACAATAGGGTGTTGGGGTATATTATGCTATAATTATAAGGCCGCTATATTACTTTAGTATTCACGCATCTCAAGCGTAGGGGTGTCAGGATGTGGTTTAGGAATTAGGGTTGAGTGTTTCGGGCTGTAGGGTCGAGGGTTTAAGGACCCCTGGTGTGGCCTTGAAGGAAGCGATGAAGTAGCTGCTGCCCACGACCGAGTACCTTCGCTGTCACTGGCTTGTATCTGAAGGATCCCATAGCTCTTTATGAGCACATACCTCCACAAGACCATCGCGGAAACTAGGGAGTCTCGAGAGAAAACACTAAACTGAATTCATGTGTCAAGCTACTCACAGGCCCAGGGTAGAAGACAGTGTGCACTAGAATTCTGAACCAAAAACCAGAACAGCGATCTCAGCAGTACTACTCCTTCACGCCTGGTACTCTTCTTCGAGTCTTTCTTGCACCGGAACCTACCATTCCAGTAAGCTAAACCGCACAACCGAAAAGACCCAACACCCTAGAGTGCTAGAGGCAACCCTGAACGCTGATCCTCCCGTGCTTTCGTGGCCCAGCGGCGCGAAGAGCAAGCCCGCATCAAAGAGCCTGATCAGAGGCTTACGCCCTTAGGGCAAGAAGGGTTAGGGTTTAGGGTTTAGGGTTTAGGGTTTAGGGTTTAGGGTTCAGGGTTTAGGGTTAGAGATTTTCGCTCGGGGTTTCCGGCATGAGGGTTTAAGCCCTTCGGTTTAGAGCCCAAGTCGTAAGGCTTCCATGCAGGTTGCGGCAGGGAGGGATCGGGAGCCGCGCAAGACGAAGCCTCGAATGGGTTCTTCTAGGAAGAGCGCCCGCACCAAAACAGACAAACAGGAACCCTCATAGAACCTATACAGAACCGTTATAGAACCTATATAGAACCGAAATAGAACCCTCATAGAAACGCTGTAGAGCTCTCCCTGATTCTGCTGTAGGCTTCGGAGACCCTAAACTAAACCCTAAACCCTAACCCCAAACCCCTAAAACCGTGCAAGCCTGGCTTTGTAGCCCCAGAGCTGCGCGAGTTTCGGCTTCAATACTAGATGCCTTAAGAATTCGAATAGGATTCTGGAGTAAGTTATACTGTAACTATAGTAAGGAACCCCCAAAATAGTATAGGTAATTATTAAGTCCCCTATATTAAGGCTCTGCGTGGTTTGGGGCTTAAGGACTGTATAGGGTTTGGGGTTTAGGGTTTAGGGGTCAGGCTCTAGGGTTTAGGCCCTCAGTTAAGCTTAGTTTGTGGGTTTAAGGCTTCAGGGTTGAGGTGTTTAGGGCTCAGTGTGGTTCGGGGCTTCCCTTCGAATTGCGGGCCTGCATGCTCGAAACCCGAAACGCTACTGTAGGGGAATGGTTACAAACCCTAAACCCTAAAGCCCCAATACCTTAAACACTATCGAAACCCGGACGAATCCCAAGCTCCACAAGCCCAGGGGCTGCAGCAGCATGGGCTTCAGGCACCTCAGTGCTCTTGGGGTTCAGGAGATAGGGTTTAAATACGTAGGGTTTTGGGTTTGGGGTTTTGGGGTTTAGAGTTCGAAGTGCATAGGGTTTTGGGTTTTGGGGTTTAGAGTTCAGGGTCTCAGCATTTATGCTGTTTGAAGTTCAGAGTTTAGGGCCTAGGGTTTCAGGGTTAGGGCTCAGGGCTGGGGGAACCCCTCTGCCGCATCTTCTCTGGGGAAATTAAGAGCAGGGTCCTCAAAGCTTCCGGTGCAGCACGGACCCTCGAGAAATCATCGCTTTGGGAGTTCTGGGTATTTTGGGAGTTTGGGTTTCGACACAAAATCCAAGGCAAAGTAATCCCTATACCCTTAGCCCTGCACTCTAAGCCCTGAGCCCTAAAACCTAAAGCTCTGAACCCCTAAACCCCTAAACCCTAAACCCTAATCCCTAAACCGCAAACCCTAAACCCTCCCTTGGACCCCCTGGCTAATTCACATCGCAGGCACAGATGAGGCCACATGGCGGTAAGCATCACGCCAAAGGCATTGCCTGGGCTCCCCAGAGTATACTGTACTGTATGTGTATATATATATATATATACATACATACATACATACATACATACATACATACATACATACATACATACATATGTTTGACTTTGGTTATAGGTATATACTACAGTATGGTCTGCTATATACTTTGTTCTTTCGCTATTCATACATCCTACTCTCAGCTATCACAGCCGTGGCTTGTGACAACGCTTCATAGTCCAGTATACTATAGCATATGTCAGCACAGACCTACTCTTTTTGTTATGAAAGCATCTACTACGGATTGTGCTATCCGCCATGCCGCCAACCTTCAGCCCGATGCCATGGGAAGCATCTCTGAATCCTCAAGTAGAACAAGGGGTTTGGGGGTATACCAAAACACAAGTAATGTAGGGGCCTTAATAATTGGACTAGGGTTTTGTGGTATACTGTACTATAATGATAATAAGGACCCCAAAATAGTATTGGTAATTATTCAGGCCCCTATAGTAGGCATGGCATAGGAGGGGAGACCATGGCTGAAGGGCCATCAGGAAGGCTTGGGGCACCTTCGCGGGAGACCGCAAAAACCCGAAACCCTGAACCACTTAAACCCCCTAAACTAAAGCCCTGAACCCCTAAACCCTGAACGGTGTAAGGGTTTAGGGTTTAGGGTTTAGGGCTTGGGGCTTTGGGTTTGGGGTTTAGGGTTTAGGGTTGAACCCCAAACTTTCCAACCGAGCCACAGATTGTGGTGAAGGCCAAAGCCCGGCCCGCGTTCTGCCTCAGTCCCGAGACCCCACCGTTCAGGGTCTGGGGTTTAGGGTTTAGGGTTTAGGGTTTAGGGCTTAGGGTTTAGCGTCGGGGTATAATATACTATTGCTTTTCTTCTCGGGGTATGAATAATATGATCGCAGAGTATAGTAACTATAGTATATAATTACTCTTTCGTGATCAAACAAAGACAAAAGAAGCCTAGTATAGGGGCCTTAATAATTAGAATAAGGTTTTGGGGCCCGTTATACTACAATTACAATACGGAGCCCCCAAACTAGCATAGGTAATTATTGAGGCCCCTATATTCAACCCTGGAATTGAAGGTTCAGGGTTTAGGGTACAGCCTAACACACAAAAAATATCAAAACGAGCCCTCGCGTGCCTGAACTCCTCGGTCTGCGCGACGGGCAGCAGCGACATGCAGAGGCCCACGGCGACGCCCAGGACCACGGGGGTTAGGAGCCACCTGCCTGGATCTTGTTGACATACCAAGAACTACGGGATCCTTAAGGGCCTGTTGGGTTATATATATAATAATAATAATAATAATAATAGAGAGTGCGTCGGAATACAGGCCCGTGTTTTTCGAGCGAAAAAGGCGATTTTCAGCATTTTTCATGATTATCAGGCATTTTGGCTTATCTTTTAGGCAATCAAACACAATGGCAAAATCTATTGCAAGCTTATACATATACTCAATGGTAGTTGATAAACGTAATTTAGCAATAGACATTTGGTTTTGTGCTACCAAGTTACCTATTGGGGGGTAGTCGGGTCTGCCACCCATCTCATTTCTCTTTAGA